AGGAGCTGATACCAATCCTATTGAAAGTATTCCAGGCAATAGAAAGATGGAACTCTCCCCAAATCATTTTATGAAGCTAACATCACATTGATACCCAAACCGGGTAAAGATCCAACAAAGAAAGAGAACTACAGGTCAATATCCTTGATGAACATAGATGCTAAAATTCTCAACAAGATTCTAGCAAACCAAATCCAACAACACATCTCAAAAATCCTTCACCATGACCAAGTAGGTTTCATCCCCAGGATGCAGGACTGGTTCAACATCTGCAAGACCATAAATGGAATTTAATACATCAACAGATATAAAAACAAAAACCACATCATTATATCATTAGATGCAGAAAAGGCTATGATAAAATCCACCACCCATTCTTGATAAAAGCCCTCAAGCATCTAGGCATAGATGGAACATACCTCAAAATAGTAAGAACCAACTATGAGAAACTCACAGCCAACATACTGCTAAACAGCAATTGGAAGCATTTCCCCTGAAAACTGGAACAAGACAAAGATGCCCACTCTCACCCCTCCTTTTCAACATAGTTTTGGAAGTCCTAGCTAGAGCCATCAGACAAGAGAAGGAAATCGGGGATATCCAATAGGAAAAATGAAGATGAATTGGTTGAAAAATTGAGGTTTTGCTTCTGGAATCTCTATCCTTTGCAGATGGCATGATTCTAGACCTCACAAACCCAAGAGAATCTGTCAAAAAGCCTCCTTGCACTGATAAAGGACTTTGGCAAAATTTCGGGCTATAAAATAAATGTGCAAAAGTCAGTCGCATTCCTATACACCAACAATAAACAGAAACCCAAATAAAAAGCACAATCCCATTCACAATAACCACAAAAAAAAAAAAAAAAAAGAAAGAAATACCTTGGCATCTTCCTAACCAGGGAAGTAAAAGACCTTTACAATGAAAACTACATAACACTGCTCAAAGAAATCAAAGATGTCACAAACAAATGGAAAAATAGTCCATGCTCATGGATTGGAAGAATCAACCTTTTTAAACTGTCCATCCCACCCAAGGCAATCTACGGATTTAACGCAATACCCATTAAATTACCAGTAGCATTCTTCTCAGATCTGGAAATGACAATACAGGAATTCATTTGGAAACATAAACGACCACGAATAACCAAAAAAATCCTCAACAAAAACAAAAACAAAATGGGAGTCATCATGCTCCCAGACTTTATTATAGAGTTTATTAAGCTTTATTGTGGAGTTGGAATAGTCAAAACAGCCTGGTATTGGTACAAGAACAGACATATAGACCAATGGAACAGAATAGAGATTCCAGAAGCAAAACCTCAATTTTTCAACCAGTTCATCTTCAACAGTGCCTCCACCCCCACTGGGGAGAGGAGAATCTATTCAGTAAACGGTGCTGAGAAAACTGGCTGACCACATGCAGAAGATTGAAACAGGACCCCTACCTATCAACATACACAAAAATAAACTCTAAGTGGATCAGAGGCCTAAACATAAAACCTCAAACTATAAGAACCTTAGAAAACACAGGAGACACCCTTATGGAAATTGGAACTGGCAACCAATTCCTTATCAAAACCCCAACTGCCCAATCCCATAAGAAATAAGATAGACAAGTGGGACCTCATCAAACTGACAAGCTTCTACAAAGCCAGAGAAACCATCAAGAGAGCAGGGAGACAGCCCACAGAATGAGAAAAAAAATTTGTCAACTGTATATCTGACAACAGCCTAACATCTAGGATCTACAAGGAACTCAAACATGCCAAAAAGAAAAAAACAAACAGCCCCATTTCAAAGTGGGCAAAAGATATGAATAGACACTTTTCAAAAGAAGACATATGAGGTACATGAAAAAATGCTCAGCCTCACTAATCATCAAAGAAATGCAAATTAAAACCACACTGAGATACCACCTAACTCCAGTCAGGATGGCCATCATCAATAACTCAAGAAACAACTGATGCTGGAGAGGATGCGGTGAAAAGGGCACGCTTCTACACTGTCAGTGGGAGTGCAAACTAGTACAGCCTCTGTGGAAAACAGTGTGGTGTTTCCTAAAAGCTCTAAAAATCGACCTCCCATAAGAGCCCACCATCCTCCTACTGGGAATATACCCAGAGGAACTCAAAGCACTTTATGAAAAAGTTACCTGCACATGCATGTTTATTGCAGCTCTATTCACAATAGCAAAAACATGGAACCAACCATGCTGCCCGTAGAAAGAGGACTGGATTTTTTTTAATGTGGTACATATCCACAATGAAATATTACACAGTCATAAAGAAGGACAAAATTATGAACTTTGCAGCAACTTGGATGGATTTAGAGTCTATAATACTGAGTGATCTATCACAGAAACAAAAAACTGAGTATCACGTGTTCTTGCTCATAAGTGAACCTTGAACAACTATCATAATACTATAAGAAAGGGATTGGCAGTCATAGGAAACTGCCAGGGGAGGGCAGGAGCAGGATTGGCAGTAGTGGGAAACTTCCGGGAGAGGGGGTGACACACCTCATTAACAAGGGTACCTGCATAATGAACATTTGTGTACCTGACCCTGAATTGTACCCCCACACATTTAAAATTTTTTTTAAAGCCCCAGCAATTCCATTTCTAGGTATATACCCAAGTAAATTGAAAACATATGTCCACACAAAAGCTTGTACAGAAATGTTCATGGCACCATTACTCATGATAGCCAGAAGTAAAAAAACAACTGAAATGTTCATCAACCAGTGAATGGATAAACAAAATGTGTTACATTCACAAAAGGGAATATTACTTGGCCATAAGAGAGAAAGGACGTGCTGATGCCACATCATAGATGAACTTTGAAAGCATTATGCTAAGTGAAATAAGCCAAACGGAAAATGCCCCATATTTTATAGTTCCTTTTATATGAAACGTGTATGAGGTGAATCCATAGGGACAAAGTAGAGCTGTGGTTCTAAGGGGCTTGGGGGTAGGGGGACTGCTAATGGATACAGAATTTCTTTGGGGGATGAAGAACATGTTCTGCAGTCCAATAGCGGTAATGGTTGCATGTCATGGTGCATAGACTAAAAAATGCCCTAACTGTATGCTTTAAAATTGCTAAAATGGTAGATTTTATGTTATGTGAATTTTTTCTCAATAAAAACAAAACTCAAAAAAAATCCAGTAGTTTTAGTTATTTTCAGTAGAATTCTTGATATCTAGTCTGTGACGTTGCCGAAAATGGAACTCCAACCATGCCTGCTTCTTTCTCTTGCCTTTGGACTGATCCTTGAGCGGTTCTCTTTACTTTTTTGACCCATATTCTTAATAGACAGCAGTAGTTCATTTATATTTCAGAATCTACACGTGATTCTTTTCCTCATATTCTTTGACCTTCCATATCTATCATCATCCGTTCACGTCCAAATTTGTCTCCCAATCTACATTTGTCCCCAAACTTGGCTTGTTTATCTCTACTACCTTTGAATCTCTACTACTTTAAAATCTTTTAACTGTCCATTCTCTATATTTCTGCCAAAAACATCTAACTAATCTTCTGACCGTATCACTATTTCTCTTCAAACTCTTTAATTACTAATTATCACCTATAAGAAAAATTCCAGGGTCTCTAACATACCACAGAATCTACTCGATTGAATCAGTGCCTACCCCTCCAGTCTCTTCTCTCCGTCAAAATCTACGTGAAGTTTATCCTCTGGTCACGTTGGCCTCCTCATTGTTCCCTGCACATATCTCACCTCATTTTATCTCTTGTGTTCTCTTTGCTGGAATACCCTTTGCATAGCCCATGTCTTTTGATTTAAAAAAAAAAAAAGAGGAGGAAGAGGAGGAGGAAGAGCAGCAAGAACAAGAACAAGAAGGAAGAGGAGGAGGGAGGACAAGGCAGAGGAAGAGGAAGAAAAGTGAGAAAGTGGAAGAGAAGACAATTCCAGAAGTATCTGCTACCATTTCTAGAGGACCTTCTCTCTTGCTGCCTGTTCTGAAACGGTCATCGTTTTTGCTGTCACTGTTCTGAAAGTATAAATAGGTTCAAATTAAATCTTAAGGCAATGGAAAGGCCTAGTTTGATATAGCTGTCTTGGCTTCTTCCCATTACTTGAATCCCCATTGGTTAGGCCAAAATTCATGCACTAATGCACATTTCATTGTCTGAATCTGGAAAATCTGGAGTCAAAAAGCCTTTACTATCTTTCTTTACCTGCAATTTGATTCTGGGTCTGAGTTTACCTCATCGTTGAGGCTTGCTTGATAACACCAGCAAGCTTCATCTGCAGATTACTCATTATTACTTATGGAAATGGAATAAATCTCCCTGGACAGAGCAATTCAGTCATTGGCCACAGAATTCCACGCAGGGGTCTTTGGTTCGATCTTCCTGTTCCAAATGGTGGGGGAGAGGCATGGAAGAGATGTATCAGACAGTTGTTGATGTGGTAATTATACTGTACAAATTCCTCTCTCCAAGGATATTTTAGGCTGGTAAGATTCCCATTTCCTGGGTTAAAGAAAGATGTTTCCTATTGTGACTGACAAAAATGACAAAATCAGGGGAATCAAGAATTTAAAATCTAGTAAATGCTAGAGTCCTGTAAGTTAAAAGGAGTCTGAAAGTTTGGCAGATTATGTGGTAGAAATGATAGGCTTTAAAAACCACAGTGCAGAACCCAAAATCTGGAGTGCAGGATATTATAAGCAATATTTGAAAGTACACAAACTGACCAGAATAGCTTTTGCGTCACGCACAGTGAAATGCGTATGTATGTGTAGTTTGGGGCAAGGTGGTGGTTCATGATTCCACCCAAGGTCTAAGTGCCAAAATTAAGATATTCATAACCTGGTGTTTCTCTCTATTGATAAATAATATAATTGATGAATACCACTTAGAATTGTGTATGCCACAGTGTCTGAAGTAGTTTTCACTGTGTCAAAATTTAATAAATGATGCATGTAATGGATGTTATATTATTGTGTTTGATTTTACTTGAACTTCACAGGAAAAGGTCATAAAAATCAGTCACCAGTGGCACATAAGAGTGAAATCCAGGAACCTCTCCCAGAGATAGTCCAAACGGCAACTCCTGTGGAGGTCCACATAGGCACCTGGTTTACAACCACACCTGCAGGAAAGCGAATTGGCACCAAAGGATTAGAGCGAATAGACTTGGCGCCGGTTTTATCTTTTCAGGCCACAGATCCTGTCAATGGAACGGTATGGCAAATTATTGTTTATTTTGAAATTTTCTACAGTGTTAGAATTCTGAAACAAAACAGAGATCTGGGCAAATAATAAATGTTTAATGAATATTTGTTAACCTGTGGATGGATGGATGAATAGATTCATCCTCCCAAATCTAAAAACATCTTGTTACAATATATTTGACAAGTATAGAGTATCATGAAATACTAATTTTTGTTGGGGGGGCACAACCGGATCAAAACAAAATACTAAGTTTTAAAGTGAAAGACAGTTCGTGAATTTTTTATGCCAGTGTAAAGATACATATATGATTAATGATGCCATGTGTTTTCCTATGTTGAATGTATTCGTGCATATGTCTTATCTTCTGGAAGTGAGAGGTTCCGCCTTATTCCTACTTCTATCAGTGATAGAAATGTGTTCGTGGTTCTTGATTTTGAAGCACTTATGGTATATTCAAGGAGATAACACATGATCACATTCAATAACTCAAGAACTCAAAACCACAGTGACTGCACATCAAAAATGTATTTGTAGCATCGAAATAAGTCACAAATTAGTGGTATAGGAAATAATGGTTTTGTTAATTATGTGAAATCATAACTCCTGAAATAAGCAATAGTACCCACTGTGTGTCAGGCTTTCTTTAGGGGATTTTTTGGCATAATATCTCATTCAGTCTTCACACCAGCGTATATTACACAAATGAGGAAAAGAAGCCTCAGCAAGTAATGTGCTGTGGTCAAGAGTACACACCAGGACGTGTGAAGCCAGGCTTAGAACCAGTTCCTGGTGGCTAAAAACTGAGCTATTTCTAGTCTTTAGCTATCCCTCTAAAATCTTATGTGGAGCTTTGCGCCACCGTCTGGATCAAAATAAAAGGAAGAATTTCTCAGGAGCCTTATCTCTAATTTCTAGACTTCCTCACCTTGTTTAAAACCACGTGCTGCTGGTCAAAAACAAAATGCCTGCTTGCTATTGAGATGAATTACATTGTCTAACCAAACATATGTCTGAAACAATTTCATAATCTCTTTGTTTGCTATTGTCTTTTTTTTTTTTTTTTGGAGACTCAAAGTATGGATCATCTCATAAAGGTTGTTTTGGGGGGGGTTTTGGTTATTGTTTGTTTGTTTGTTTGTTTTATTACTTTGAATAACTTTAATTCAATCCCCAGTATAGATTATATGACTTAATATGCAAATTTGATTAACATTTTTTAGTAATTTCCCTCATTCATCTCTATAATGATTTTGGAAGTATGAGCCAAAATCCAGGAATCTGGATTCAAGCATGAATTAAACATCAAATGCCTAAGAGGATAATAGCAATAATAATAATATTTACTGAGCACTCACTGTTCTCTGTTTTTTTCTGAGCAGACCCTGTACTCTGTGCTTTTTACATACTAAGTCATTCAATTCTCACAACAAACTACTATTGTCTCTCTTGTATAGATGAGACCACTAAGCTACAGAGAGCTTTAGTAGTTTGCCCAAGATCACACAGCAAGTGGTAGAGTCAGAATGTGACACCCCAAATCTGCATCTCAAACCCCATGTATTCAACAATTAGCAAATAAGGGATGACATGATTATACAAAACAAAATTGAAAATCATGTTTCTCTACAACCCCTGACATGAAGTGCTACATTTTAAAGGAGTTCCACCTTTTTGGTGAGGCAGACCTGGATTATATTCATCGTATAATGGGTATTTTAATCCCTGGGTGTTTTCTAAATTGTGCTGTCCTGACTATAAGAAACACAGTGTTTCACCGAAGGGTCTGAATGGTTGTGAGAGTGAGTTTGCTCGCTTTTTTTTAACTCAAAAGTCTAGAGTCACCAAAAGTAGTGTAGCCACTTCTAACCTGGGTCTTCTTATTCATAAACTAGAGATAATAGTCATTACCTAAAATAGTCATTACCTAAAATAGTCACATCCACTCAGACCCTTCAGAGAAACACTGTTTTTTATAGTCAGGACAGCACAAGTTTAGAAAACACCCAGGGATTAAAATACACAATATATAATGAATAATACTATAGTGGCAGGTTGGGCTGTCCAGAAGCAAACATTGAGGTAGAGTTTGGAGTGTGAGGTATGTATTAGGGATACCATCTGTGAAAGAAAGTGGGAGGAAGCAGTAATGGACCGAGGAAGAAGCAAAACTGTAATTCAAACACAACAAAGCCATGGTCAACCCAGTGGGGAGCTCAGGACCAAGAATTACCTGTCCGTTGTCCCAAGTCTGGCAGAAGTGGCCAGATCCATCCATATACCCCTGCCTTTCTCAGTCGCTGGTCACAGCTACCCAGGAAGGTTGTAAGTCAGGGGAAGCATCTCCCTGCAGCCAAGGCAGACACTGAAAGAGCTTAGAGCTGGTGACTGCAGACTGCACCCCAGACCTGGGTGGGGGATCTGGGCTGCACACCTTCATGTCCGCTACATCTACACACACACACACACACACACACACACCTCGGTGTGTAGAGTTTTACTATGTCTCAGTCCATTCAGGCTGCTATAGCACAGTGCTATAGACTGGATAGCTTGTAAACAACAGAAATGTATTTTTCACAGTTCTGGAGGCCAGAAGTCTAAGATCAGGGTACCAGCATGGTTCGGGTGAGCATCCTCTTCCCAGTTCAAGTTCCCATTGTGTTCTCACATGACACAACGAGAGTGAGAGAGCTCTCTGGCATCCCTTTTATAAGGGCATTAATCCCATTCGTGGTGGCTCTGCCCTCAAGACCTAATCATCTCCCAGAGGCCCCGCCTCCCATGATCATCACCTAGAGGCTAGGATGGCACAGAAATTCGGTTCAGAGCAACTAGTCGGTGATTTTTAACTATGATGTACAAGGGCCCAATTGTTCTTTCAGACTAAAGGGCTTTCCGGAATGGGCTGAATTTTCTGTGATTCCTACTCTGGTTCACATATTTAAAAACACTTCAGTATTGCTTTACCCTCTTGGGACCAAGGCTGAAGTTCTTAAAATGCAGTTCTCCCCAACTTGGCCCCTAGTCTCCTAGCCTCATCTCCCCCCATCTCCCTCCCCGCTGGGGTCCTTGTCTCTCGCCCAGTTTGGCTCGTGCTGCAACTCTGCGCCGAAGTCCCAAGTACAACCTCAGCATCAATTCCTCAGACAGAAAGTCAGACTGGTAAGAACCCTCACGACGCACAACAGTGGCTCCTTGATTGTCCCCTTCAGTAACTTCTTTTTTTTTTTTTAGATGTGGGGTATAATTCAGTATTAGGTATGCAAGTGGTCATCATACACGCAATGTCTGGACTTCCCTTTGGTCCCTACTTCACCTGATATAAGATCAGGTACCAGCTGGGCTCGGTGGCTCAGCCTGTCATCCCGCACCTTTGGGAGGCTGAGGTGAGCGG